AGGTTGAAATTGAGATGAAGATTGAAGTTCAGCTGTCAGACAGGATGTCTGTGACTGTTCTATGAACTCTGGGTCAGTGCAGCAGTTTAAGGTTAAATCATGCCCCATGATGAAGAGCCCAAACCTCTTTCTGGAGGACCTCTTAGTGGGAGCACCCTTCTGGGGGAGCAAAATAAACAAAGGTAAGAATTTGAAGATTCTGGGGCTGGGGATGTGGCTCAAGCGGTAGCGCGCTCGCCTGGCATGCGTGCGGCCCGGGTTCGATCCTCAGCACCACATACCAACAAAGATGTTGTGTCCGCCGAGAACTAAATAAAATAAATATTAAAAAAAAAATTCTCTCTCTCTCTCTCTCTCTCTCTCCCCTCTCTCACTCTCTTTAAAAAAAAAAAAAATTTGAAGATTCTCTTAAAAGTATCTTGATTGACTGCTTTCAGAAGGCTTGAACAAGCTTTCTGGGAGGCTCTGATGTTCACTAAAAAAAGATATGCCTCACTTAGTGAGCATCTGTTGGCCAGGAGCTCTGCTAGGTGCTTCATATTCTTCTATATAATAAGCTTGAACTCACAACCGCTGGTTTAGAATTCCTATTTATCTGTGTAAATTATTAAAGTGAACACTTCTGAATTTATGTGTTAAACTTGCTTTATGAAAATGTAAGCTCCTGAAGTGAATGTTACCTAAACCTCAGTCCTTGTCCCCAATGCCAATCCAATAATCAGAACAAGGTTTTGTGGGGAAAAAAAATAAATAAATAAAAGAAGAAGTTTTATTGCTTTGCCAGCAAAGGAGAAGCACAGGGGACTCCTGTCCCAGAGGCGGTGATTCTGCCCATCAGGGAAAAGAGAGAACTTTTAAAGAAGCTCTTCAAAGGCTACATTCCAGATGTTTCCTGACAAGGGGTCCCAGGTGAGCCTGAATGGCAGGTTGCTTGTTAATTTGGGAGATAGTCACTTCCTAGATCTTCCAGTGACATCTCCTTTATGTGGAGGACAGATAACTCTAAGTGATCTTCTTCCTTGCCCCCAGGTTATGGATGGGGAGTGGGAGAAGAGGAAAAGAAAAACAAGTCCTTTTAAAAATAAGCAGCAAGGGCTATATTCAAAGGTGAAGTGGACTACTGTCACCAATCTGTCTTTCTCAGTCTCTACTAACAAATATTTAGGATTTGGTTACTCCAGTACTTTTATCAACAGTAATACTTTGGTGAACATACAGCTTCCTGTGAATGCATTAAAGTGAATCTGATGTTTGCTCTGTAGTTCACTCTTTGCAACTGAACTTGTAAATATAGACTCACAGAAATGGGCATCATAAAGGGTGGGAGAAGAATTTAGTGAGCTTTAACAATCACTGTACTTCACCTTTTTTATTTTTATTACCCAACAGCTTGCTCAGTGTTAATAAGTATTCTATACTCGATAAATGTTTTTGGTTCGTTGACTTTTAATGTTTTTTAAATTTATTAACAAATTCTGTATAGACAGATAGAAATTACTCTGAAATCAGATTGTTTAAAATTTATTTTGTTCATGCTGTATAAATTCGTAGGCAATGAAATATAGGGTACTAGGCATAGCATTTCAGATACAAAGCACATGATTCTACGCATGTCTCAATCTCTGCCCCATGGGGACTTTAAAATTAATAATATTAATGGACTGGGATTGTGGCTTAGTGGTAGAGTACTCCCCTAGCACGGGCGTATATTAATATTTCTAGAAATGTGAAATTTCTATGAGAATGATGCTGTTGGCAAACATGAAGAACTCTTCACCTGTAGAAATACCATTATACGTGTTCATGTTTATTGCCAGTAAGTTTATAATTGTGAAATAAATATATACATTCCTATCTTGTACACAAAAGTTTCTATTTAGAAAATTAAGGAAAAGAATAACTATCTACCCAAGGAGCATAGTTTAGTCTGTTTTGCAGATGAAACACATTTGCCAGTTTTGATTTTTGCACTATTTGCAAATAGTGTTCTTGTTGCAGAGTATGCACAGATTGATACAAGTAGAATATTTCAGGACTGATCTAGATTTGAAAAATGCAATGTTAGTTACAAGTAATTTTTAAGACCTAGCTTCAATTTTGTGCCTCCATATCACTGCTATAGATTTGGAGGTGAGCATCAATTTTAGAATAAAGCAATTCAGCATTTTACTTAGTTCATGAATCTTATACCCTGGTGTCATGTATCAAGTTCTTTTGGAAGGTGTCCTCTTGAGACTGTACTGGGGTGTGCTCTGGAGAACACTGTGCCGAGTGAGGGATACCGAAGAAGCAAGGGGAAATTGGACTGTGGTACAGTCAAAGCAGGGGCCTTAGACCACTCATCCTACTAGGAGCTTTAGAAGCTTCTGAGTTTCCTGACTTGAGGCAAAGGCAAAGCTATTAAATATTTGCACTCACCTGTCATTTCCTGAGGACAGCATTACATTTGCTCTGGAGGTCTACTTTGGGTGAGGGTTATCAGCCACCAACAAACACCCCAAGCAKTTGAGGAATGAGTACTAGGGGCTGGGATGCTCTGGGAAGCACCTCAGAGGCACAGGCKTTGCACCTGTATTTGCATAACAATGGGGGAAGTTCCACAGGTAATTGCCTTTTAAATTTCTCCCTTCAAAGGGTTGAGAGAAGATAGGCTCCTGTAGTTTTCCTGCAACTTTCCAAGGTTAAGTGAGTCTTGTTTATGTTTTCTTCCCCAGTGAAGTAAATTCCAGTTACAACATTGAGAGAGGACCTTGAAATATATGAATAGGTATAAATTAAGTATTTACCCTAGAGGAGATAAGGGGTAGATTAAATTAGCAATTAAATCAACATTTTAATTCTTTTTTCCTCACATTGAGCTACATACAAAGTAAGCTTTAACCATTAACTTCTTTGGAGATTGTAAACTAGGGGTGAGCTTAAAATGAAATAATTACTGAATATATTCCTGCTAAAATGAATTCTTATAATTTTAAGTATGGAATGTTTCTGTGGAATCAATGTAAAAAGGTAAAGAGTTTACCTTTTTTCTTTTTCTTTTTTTCTTCCTCTACATGATATTTTATGATGTTAGCCTTACCTAATTCGGGGATGTTAAAAATCAAGGTAATAAATGTACATTAATATTCTTTGATTCATGACACAAATGAATATAATTTAAAATTATTGAAGATCACACTATTTGTGGACATGTTAAATCATACTGTCGATTTCAACCAAAACTTGTTTCCTCAGTCTTCAAAAGAAGTACGAACCAAAAATTTATTTAGTTTAACTTTTATTAAAGAGAAACTTTTAAAAGCCAATACTAAACTCACAACAGTTCCATGACTCAAGTTTTATAGATGTCCTCACTAGAAAAGGGCATGCACCCACACTCACTATGCGACCAAGAGGACAGTAAAATAAGTTTATAGTGTACTCTAGAGAGTGTTGACTTGCTGTATTTTGCTTTTATCTCTGTTTGTTTTTAACATCTGTCCTCCATTTCCTTCCTTGTACTGTTTTTTGTTTTATTTTATTTATTTTTTTTAATTGGTGTGCTGATTCACACTTAAGTCATTGGCCTTACTCTGGTTGAGGAATATTTCAAGAGGGAAGTTAAAACAGTGAGGAAAAAAAAAATACTGTTTTTGTTAATTTGGCTCCAGCTGATTTTATACCTGGAAGCAGGAGAACTGATGGTTCTTGTATATGGTTAATTAAATCTTGAGCTGATGGCTTTTGTTATAGGTCTTAAGTCATCCACCTTGTTAGCAGAGCTTCTGCCCAGCAGGGTTAGGCTTCTCTGTAGGGAGTCCTTTCACAATATTTACTTTGTGCTCAGGTGACTGACTGAAGGCAGGAAGATGGTCCCTGTCCAAACTTGGCCAGGTTGTGAAATTTGAAAGACAATCAGTATGGGGACCTCCCTTGACTTTGTCTTAAAAACAAGATGGCAGGCAGTAAGTGGCATAGACAGGACCTTGTCCTCTTCCTCCAGTCTCTTAGAATTCTTTTCTGTGAGGAAAGGAAAAATCTCACTGCGTTTTGTTTTCCTAATGCTTCTTGGATTCTCACCAGCGGGTTTTTATACAGTCTGTTGCTTGCCTCTCAGATTAGAAGAATGCTGGCATATTTTAACAGTTTCCTAGGATTCGAACAGCCTTTAATTAACAGCAAATTGATGTTTTGGAATGTTATCAAAACTTGGGAGACTGAACACGGAGGCCGAGCTTCCGTCCTACTAGCTTCTGAGTGACATGGAGTCCTAAAACAGGGGGCAAAGGTGCATGCAACCTTGCACATAGCTGGCTGTCCACTGGTATGGCAAGGGGAGTGTCTTTGTTGATATAATATTCACATGGCCTGCTCATTGGTGCCCATGTAAATTCCACCTACTCCTGCCTGTGGTGGAGGCAGTTGTTGTTGAATACTCAGAGCTACAGGGGTGCTGAACAGCTCAGCCTTTTGCACTGGATTTGCTGTTTTTTAATCTTCCAGTTGCTGGGGCAGTAAGGTATGTTTGCCCGTGTTCACAGTTAAGTTTCTTTCTGGTGCCAGATTCATGTCATCTTACTACCAGAGTTTTGCATTGGCGGAAAAGAGCAGTTCTACTGAAATAACCTCTCAGATCTGAAGCCTCTTCTGAGTAGTAGGTTAGTGGTCAAAGAGGGACAGGCAAGCCAGCCATGGAGAGGGTTTCTTTTTGAATTCAGTGATCTTGGATTTGTTGCTGACCTGTTCCAGAGCTCTAGGCAGGAAAGGAAAAATGAGTTGGAGAGTTTGAAATATTGACCAATACTTGCATAACCAGACAATTATAATCCAAAGAAAAGAAGAGCTTGACATACTCCTACTGCCCAATGGCAGAACTGCTCACTGGCCAGTTCCCAACTGAGGTCAGCAGACTTCCATGTCTTTATTTTTTCCATGAAACTGGCTTCTTTTCTCTGGAGAGATGGTGGTGCTTTTTCCATGCCTGGTATCCCTGATCATTCTGTTTCCTTTCATCTCCACAGGTGGTACATGCCAGAGTCCTGCTCTCCCAGCCCTGGTCCGTCCACCAGCCCCTCCTTTGCAACCATCGCTGGATATTAAACCATTTCTTCCCTTTCCTCTTGACACTGCGGCTGCAGTCAACCTCTTCCCCAATTTTAATGCAGTAAGTACCACAACAAAACTTGCACCTATCAGAGCGATAGGTACTATAAAAACTTAAAGGCCGGGGGTGATTCAGTTTACAACCTCTTTTTTTGCTATATAGTTGATTTCATGACTTGTCTGAAAGCCATGGTAAACTTAATTGTCTGCCTGGTTATGTCAAATTCCCAGAGCCAGGCTCTTTCATGGGCAAAAGAAAAGAGATTGAATGTGATTGTGTGTCTTCTGGATAACACCAACAAGTCTATTTTGTTGTTTGTTGTTGTTGAGATATGTTGAATTTCAATTTGACCTATCTATTAGAATTATCAAGTTGGTATCTAAAATAAATTAAACATGYGTTTCTTGTGTCTGAGTCTTCTGCTTCATTGTTCAAATCTAATACTTCTTTCCTAATTTAACAAAGAGAGCTCTGATAATGACAATAGTGTTACATTTCATATATACAACACTTTTTTTTTTTCCTCCTTAAAGCAACTCAGGGCTCTGGTAACAAGAGTTTTAATATCATTTTCCTTCCTGCCCAGCCAAGTTAAGTCTGTCTTAAATTACTTTGCTTCTTTGGGTTTTGTCAACAGCTTTCTCAGCACAAGTTCAATTATTTTCTTGTTTCTGTTTCCACTTTTAAGATGTCTTTATAAGTTGGTAGATTCATCACATACATCATAATTCTTATTTTGTGCAAGCTGGTTGAGAGTATTTTCAGGATGGAAACTGGAGTAAGGGTTGAAAAGGTTAGAAACAAGTAAGTGACATATTTTTCAAATATCATCTGATTTGGATTCCAGCAGTTGTTATAATGCAGGTCTGAGCTTATCAATGACAGGATATGTCAATACAGCCAAAGCAAAGAGGATTAAGATGAGAGGTTCCTGAATGCCTAGAGATCTAAATAATACTTTTTTTTTTTTTTGCAACTGCTTGCCCCCATGATAGAGTTAAAAAAAAAAAAATCTGCCCACAATTAAATAATTCTTCCTCAGGGGAAAGAAGCAGATATTGTGTTTCTTAATAGAACTTTGTCACGGGGACTTTGGACGTGCTAGTAAATAGTACAGAAATGTACTGTGCTTGTCCTTGCTCAATGGCAAGGGGAAATAAAACGATGGGGAGAGGAATTTTCCATAAGAACCTTGTTTTGAAATGGATAGGGCAAAAACAGAGCAGCATAAAGATCATGTTTACAAAACACAGGTTTCTAATCCTAGGTATTTCAAGAATAGTAGAGAAAAACTTGCTTGGCATCAAATTCCCTGACACTTCAATGACTACACTGAAGTCCCTCGGATCCCCTTCCTGGAGCTCCTTAAGTGGCTTCCTGGCACAGCCTTGTCCCCAGATACCTGGGGGATGATCCATAAGAGGTGGTCCACCTAGCCTTGGCTTCCACTTGGCATCTTGTCCTGCGGGTCCCACTTTAGCCTTAGAGCAGTTTAGGTAAAAATCTTGGAAGCTTATAAAATACCACGTTTAAAACTTTTGATCCGTCTTTCAGGAGACATTAAAAGCCCAGTGATTAACTGACAATGAGTCTTTTTTTTGTGTGTCATGAAACAAAGATGAGTGACATGCTGAGCTGTGAGACACCCAGCAAATCTCTTTACCTTCTTTGCTGCTTTTTCCTATTAGAGATAAAAGTGGACCTGATAATCTCTTCTTATACGACTGAGAGATTTGAGTGTTTTGGGTTTTGTTTTGTTTTTTCCTTGGTGGGCAAAGGCAGTGTTGTATGGTCGTCAAGCTGGGCTCTGCAGTTAGACTTATTTAAGTCTCAGAACTACCTCTTATCCCCTATTCCCTGTGTACCTCACTAGCTTCATCCATAAAATGGGACTAATATAGCACCCTTTATAGGCATGTGATAATGATAATGTTGGTTAAATCATTCTGAACAGTGTCATGGAGTGAATGGTATTGTGTGTAGAAACTAACTTGTGAATCCTTCTGAGTATGAATGTGAGAGTTCACTGATTGATTACAAAAGTTTGACTTGATTATTTTTTCCTCTCTTGGATTTTGACTTGTGTTATGTGTGTCCCTTGAAGCAGGCTGCCCTCTGTTCCTACTGCTTATTCCTTGGTAATTCCCTTTCAAGATTGGCCAGGCTACAGCCAACTGAGGGTTAAGATGCTCCTTGCTCCCAAAGGAGGGGAATCATTGGAAAGCCCATAATCCATGTGACTGGGGACTCAGAATTAGGCCACAACCTGAATTCTTGATTTTTTTAAAGCATCTGTGAATCTCAGTCCACAAATTTGGCATGTAGAAGATACGATGTTATATTTTAATAAATTGATTTCTGTTTTAAAARGGCTCATTCCATCAGGAGGTAATTCCAATCTAATTTTGTTTCAGGGTATGCTAAGTTTCTGGATTCTAACAGGTTATCTATCCAACTTTTGGTGGGAGACATGTCTCATCAAATTATTTTTCCACATAGGCATTCATGAGATATGGGCAGCCTGTGGTTAGCATAGCCCTTAAGATACTTGGCTTTTTCTGTAATTTACTTAAGACCCACAAACTTCAAAAGGCTGCAAGTTGTCCTTCACTCACAGATCCACCACACAGCTATTATTTCTTTGCAGAAAGCGAAAAACCATTTTGCTACCCAACAGTTTTGAGATCCATCTAACATTTTCAGAACAAAGTCCACAGTGATCAGACACTCTCTGTTATGCGTTCCTCCCCTAATGGAATATGAAAACACATACACACACACTCACTTACTCTACCCCCAATACGTAGATGTCCTTCATATGTATATCCTATATATGAAGGATTTCACATAGGTATTTATATACATGGATATATGTGGAGAGAGTGTGATGTGTATGGAGTCATCCCTATGTGAGGTAGGATGTGGCTGAAAGGTAAAGGAAAAATTTAAAAACACATTCTTTAAGGAAAAATTTAAAAACATTCTTGTAAGATCAAATATATAAAAACATGGGTAGCTATCTCAGATCATTCTACTTCTGCAAGAGCATAAACCATTAGTATTTGCATGTATGAAGGGCAGGAAGAATAATGAAGAATCTATGAAAATAAGCACTGTTAGGAGGGAAAGGAAACAGAGATAGAATCAGAGCTGATATCTGGGCGTAAAAGAGGACATTCAACGAAATCATTAGGATCTTTTGGTCTCAAAGTCAACTTTTGGGGATTGGAAACAGAAGTTCCCTGGTCTGGGAAATGTTGACTTTCTAGATGTTTCAAGAGCTTTAACACTAAAGCAATCTCTCCTTGAATTCCTCCTGTACCACTTACCCTGCCCTTTAATCTCTTAAGACATGGGGATTTCAGTGCTCAAAAACATTCTGATCTCAGTGATCCACCCTGAGTCTCGCATTTCTTGAACAGCACGAATCCTGGAAGTGAATAGATGACATTTAGGAAAGAGAATGAGCTTAGTCCATTCAGACAACTCCTATTTATTAAGCAGCTGCTATGTGCCAGGAATATTGATACCAAAGAGTACATCATGGCCCCTGCTATGAAAAGAAGTCAGTTTGTAAAGGAAAAGTTGACAACTAAGGACATATTCACAAATAGGGCTGCGTTGATAGAGAAAGTTGTACAGGATAAAATATCAGCTTGGGGACAAGAGTGTGTTTATGACATTCTGGCTGTCCTAGTGGAGGTCTGTGAGGAAAAATAAACTATTCTCGGAATTCAAGCAGGGAGGGATTTAATGTAAGGCTTTAAGTGGAATCTTTGTGGATATTGGGCAAATGACAGTCTAAGAAGGCTGTTTTGGGCTGTTTTTTTTTCCCAGCTTGCTTTCATGGAGTCAAGGAGTTGCAGAAACACAAGACACCCAGTAAGTCCAGTCAAATCCCATGGAATGCCTCTGATCAGTGGAATCAGCCAAGTTTGCGTGTTCTGGCAGGGATCTGTGGGCATGCAGATCTTGGGCTCCTATCCTTGTGATGTGGGGGCACTGTGCAGGGCTGCCCACAGAAGACCCCTCTCTATGGGGTAGTGCAATGAGGTAGGTGGAGTCAGAAGCCTGATAGAGTCTGTCCTAAACTATGAAATTAACATAAACATCTCTGGTTCATTATCAGAGGTGCAGATGGATCTTAAAATTCTGGAGATTGAAGCTGAGAATGGGCTTGGGCAAGACCTGGCAATGTTGTCTAGGATGAGAGCTAATGAACAAAAAAAAAAAAAAAAAAAATGATTGTGTCTCTTGACAGTTTCTTCTCAGGGTCTCACAGTAGGCCCTTTGTCTCTGTTTCTCTACCATATTTTCTTCCTATTAGGATCCATGGTTATGGCAATGGAGAATGTGTTTGTGGGGATTGATGGAACCTGATTCCACATCCTGCTTTCCATGGCTGTATCTCCCATTGGCATGAGGAGAACTGAGGAATATGGAGCCGAGGCACCTGTATGTGTCAGCTCCTCATTAAATATTGAGCCCTTCTTCCTTTCTGGAGATGCAGAAGGAAGAATGAGGAGGTCATGTGGAGAGGGCAGAGAGGAGAGTTAATAAAGGAGAGTGGCTGTTAATGTTTTAGTTAGCTCTGGCTTTAACATTGAACTGGACCTCAATTAGCATAGAAAAGTTGACTCTGGATTCTGTGCTGCTCTTCCATAGGCTGTGATTTCATTATGAAAGAGAGAAAACTGGGGAAGGGAGGGAGGTTGGGGGGGTGGCGCGGGACAGCAGGAGAGATTAAATCCAGTGCCTGATTCCACTCTAGCTCTTTCTGTTTCTCAAAAGTACCAACTGTTGGAAATTTGAATGCAGCATTAGTTTGGGTTCTGCTCAGCAATTTTGGAGTTTTTATCAGTTTGGCCACAGGAAAGTGGTGCTTTTGTTATTTATGGCCTTGCTTCTTCTATGTATCAGGGAAATCATGTTAAAATGCAGGTTCTGAGTCAGTTGTTCTGGGGTGGGGCCTGAGATTGTGAACATATGTAGGAGGGGAGGGAGAGCCAGGAAAAATATTAAAAGCATTGAACAATTCTTCATTCATTTCACAAATATGC